TTTGCCCTCGCCCATTGGGACAGCTGATTCGGAAGCAACAATGGAACTCGGGGCAGTGTGCAAACCGCAACTGTCAAGATTTATTTTAAGTCCGAACTCGAAACACTGACATATTCAGGATTTCCCTTGTTGCTGGGAGCCATCATGTTTTCGGCAGAATGCAGAAAGTGCAATTCCTTGCAGCATTTTGACAAGTTTGACCCAGCCGCTGCCCTAAACCCCAAATTCAGTTGCGATCTCAAACCAAAGCTCTAAGCCCTAAGGTCAGTTGACCGTGTTGACCAAAACCAAAACCTGAAGCTCTAAAGTGAGTTGAACTTGCTTTTGACCCTAAATCCTAGACAAAAAGACAAAGCATACCTGCAACTCACACGCGCTGTAGGGCTGGGCAGCCCACAAGCCCTCCTGGGGCAATCGTCTTGGAGCCTGAATAGATCCAACTTGTCATTGTTTGGTGCCGACCAACTCCGGAACCACTGTTGTTACAACAACGTGTTCAAGCATCTACTTGGCAAGAAACCCCTGGTGTTGTGAATCTCCTTTTGCATCCTTGCCGACACAGAAGACAGACGGCTACATTGAATCTAGATAACGGTTTGGATGTGGCTTTTGTGGACTCACCTCTGTGGAACATTAAAAGAGTACTAACAGATTGCTACAAAAAGGTGCAACAGGTGGGAAAACGGGGAAATCCACACAAAGAGCATCCGAACTGTTTTCTAGATTGACAAACAAAGTAGCCGTGTATTCCTGATGATGTTTGAAGTATCCACGCTGTGCAGCTTTGGCCCTGGCATTGACCAACCGAAACGCACAGACTTGTGAATATGTACCAGTCGATTGCTGTCTATCAGGTTTGGTTGATGACTATTCATGTGCTCCACATGTACCAAGTTGCCCCACATGTTTGGCATTTCACACACCGCATGTCAAGGACTTCAAGTGCATAGAGCAATCCCATGCATCCCTCGGCTCCAGGTACCCCACCCGGAGCGCGGCTGTCGTGTTTGGGGAAGGAGATGGAGGGTCACGTCCCGGATAGTCAGATGGTGGGTGAACTGGTCCAAGGATGCGGCTGAAGCATTTGTAGGTGAGTGAAAGTTGGGTCAAGATGGCAGGCACACCCTCTGCATGCAGAGCGATTTGGATCCATGCCTCAGGCCTTGCCGCACACGGTCCTGGCATGAGGCAGAGGGTCCAAACGGGCAAACATACGATGGCGGTTCTTGTACGATTTGTGTAGTGTGTTAGGATTCTCCCGAATCTTCCAAAATCTCAGTCCGCCGCACTGTTCCTCGTCATTCCATTTTTTTTGTACGCAAAGGAAGACGGCCTCTTTTTCTAGAGTGTGACTTCGGAAGTGTGGCCTCGTGGCAGGTTTGGGTCCCAGCCCTTGGTCATAGCCAGCCTCAACGGCCACACCGAGGCATGGGGGATTCTTTTCTTTTGTTTGTGCTTTGCAGGGTACAATGGCTGTAGGAGATTATGAGCTTGAGTCTAGCTACTCCCATTGTGTTCTGAGGCTGGCTTGTCTCTCGTTTTGCAAGCCTTGTTGTTCCCAGCAGGCCGTCAATGTTTGGAAGATCCGCAAAGTTGATTTTTTCAACAGCAACAGGTGATAGTGTTGCCGCAAAGGGCGCATTTGCAGATTGGAGTGTAGAGTTTTGCCGTGGCCTTTGCGGAATCCGCTGCAAGCGAAAGGTGCCAGGTCTATGTTGTGGCAGTCATCGATCTTGTTGAATGCTGAAATCCAACCTCACTGCTCTCAAGGTCCATTTCTTCTCTTCTTATTTCCGGCGGCGTCCAGCAGGTTTGACCACATTTCTATGCGGTGACGAGTGTCTGCAAGAGCCTTGCACCACTCTTCGCAACTACAACCGCCGGGGTGGGGGTAAACCGGAAGACATGCTCATTGAGGCACATTTGGAAAGGTGCACTTTCAATGAAAGGGCTACGAGGAGGTTCTGATGCAGTACTCTGCTCTCTGCAAATCACATGTCCAAAACTACCGTGTCCGCAGTTGAATGGTTTTCTAAGGGCATCACAAGGAACCCGAGCGGACACAACAAAATGCAACAACCAACATTCCAACTCTTGCCTTGCAGCCGGCGTCTTTGAGCCTTGCCAGTGTGTGCACTACCTGCTGGAGGAGCAGGCAGATGTGGAGCAGCGCAACAAGCCAGGTGCCCAGGTTAGTTTTCTTTTTGAAATGAGGAATCGTAGTCTTCCATGATGGCTATGCTGGCATTCGTTCACTCTGCTCAGTGTTTTGTGCGGGTGGGGAACTAAACAAATCGGAGTCGCGCACGCAGCTTTCCTGCTAGCTTTCACTCAGTGTCTCAAGTTGGTTCTTTGTACGCGCTGCTTCATGCCGATGATACTCTCATGCAGGTGCGAGCATGCCCTTGATGCCCGGATCAGTCTCTCCCGGATCAAGAGCAACCCAGAAAGTCAACCCTTCTTCCACATCTGAAGTTGCGAGCATCATAGTGACATTGCTGGCAATGGTGAACCCCAGCAGCACCACTCTTGTCACATGGCCATTGCGGCTGAACCCCAGCAGCACGACTCTTGTCACATTGCCATTGCGGCCTTACACAGGCATCTCACTGGCATCTCACTGGCATCTTGCTGGCATCACCAATAGTATCACCTTGACACTTGTTCTCCAACACAGCGAGGTGCTTATTGGTTTGGCGTCTGCCTGACGTTCCCAATGTGGCCAGTCTTTCCTGTGCCCACAGCACTGAACTGTGCCCTAAGTGTTTGTTGATGCTAAAGAACTTTGGCTGACGCCGAATGTGTCCTTCTGGGATGCCTATCCCGCCTGTTCCTTGTAAAACCGTCTGACAATGAAGGCAAGGCAAGGCAAGGCAAGGCAGGGCAGGGCAGGGCAGGGCAGGGAAGGAAGGAAGGAAGAACCACCACTCGTCCAGCCACAAACACCAAAATAAACGTGAAGCCCACCATTAACCACCCTAAGCTATCTCTAAACCTATTCTAAGTTCACCTAGTACCAAGCTTAACTCAACTATTAACTCGCCCCAAGCACCCCAACCCCTCCCAACCCACCCAGCCGTACCCAACATCCACCCAAAACCCGGCCTAAACATATCCCAAATCAATGCACAATCCATCCTGATCCCCTCGCATGTGATGGACAGCCCCCTATTGGTTCAGAAGTTTCTTGGCATGTTGTGCCGGGCAAACCTAATTGTCAACGCTGTCGGCCAGGTTCAAAGAACTATACATAATGTATATATATATATATATATATGGATCATCAGAAGCTTGCTCGAGCAAATGAACCGGGGCTGAGCTGAGCAGTCTGGTGGGATGCTGTGTTAAACTGATCATCTGACACTAGCTCTCCATACATCTTGAAACAACCTGCAAGCTACCCTAAACCAACCCCCAACCGATCCTAAGACCACCACAAACCCATCTTCAACCACCCGAGAGAAACCCTACCCACCCTAAATCAGCCTGAATAAACGCGAGTTAAAGCCATGTACAAGCGTGTTTCTGCTGGTGCTGCAGAGAACCAACGCAGGTGAGTTCGGGCACTCTGAAGAACAACTGCTTTTTGCGTACGTTTCTTTTTTTGTTTTTAATGTCTGCTGTAATTCACCAGGCAGTTTTGGCCACCTCGGTTCTTACTTCTAAAAAGGCAGGGCTGCGGGTGCTGGTCAGGTGCTGACCAGCGTGGTGACTGGCGGCGCGTGTTCGGCGCTCCAGTCAGGATGCTGGTCACGGTGCTGCTCGTGTTGGTCAGGGTGGTGCTCGGGCTGCCGTCAGGGTGCTAGTGGTGACTGGCGGTGCTCTTGCGCTGCGCTGCAGCGAGGGCGTTGGTCAGGTGCTGTGGTCATAGTGGTGGCTGGCGTGCTTGTTCGGTGAGGGTGCTGGTCACAGTGCTGGTCAAGTGGTCAGCGATGGTTAGGTCAGAGTGTGTGCTCGGCGGTTTCGGTGCTGGTCAGGGTGCTGGTCGGGTGGTGCGGCGCGGATCGGATGTAATATGCTGGTGACGGTGCTGGTCGGGCAGGATGCAGGTTGCTTGTTCGGCCAGTCAAAGTTTTGGTCAGGGTGCTGGTCAGGTGCTCGTGGTAATTGGGGGTGCTTGTTCGGCTCTGCTGGTCAGGTCAGGGTGCTTTTGCATACTGTGGCGCCGCTTGCTGCATGGGAATTCCCGTGCCCGCCTCCCGCACGGATCGCCGTGCATGTCCCCCGCGCGGAAATTCGCGCATGGCTTGGTTTGTGGCCAGTCAGGGTGCTGGTGGTGACTGGCGGGGCTTGTTCACAGGGGCTGAAGGTGCCAGTGGTGGGTGCAGTCAGGGTGCGTTTTGCGGTGCTTGTTTGGTGCTGCTGGTCTTGATACCGTGCTGTTGTGCGTGGTCAGAGTTCTGTTTGGTGTGCTCAATTTGGTGTGGTGGTTGCTGGCGGTGCTTGTTTGGTTATGTAGTGAGGCTGCTGTTGTGACATCCTGGGGTCGATGCTGGTGTAATGCTTCTTCTTTGATGATGCAGTTCGTGCGATTTCCCAGCACAAATGCCACAACTCAGTTTTTTGATGCCTAATACTAATAGGTTTGTTTTGAATGCCTAACAGGGTTTTGTGGACTCATGCATATGAGAGGGAGTCTCTCTCCCATTGTTAACAAGTTCGGTGTAAACCGCAAGCGGTAGAGATTGCGCTCGCGAGGTTTGGCTGGACGCCTTTGCTAGCAGCTTGCTCCAAAGGCAGGTTGCAGGAATTCTTTTTGGGCTGAACTGAAAGTTGCTCTTTGTCCGGTTTCCATTGACTCATCATGATGACTGTGATTTAGTATCTAAAGCCCACTTCCAGGAAAAGGCGCCCCACATGGTCTCCGATTGGTTTTGACTGGTGGTTTGATGGGTGAGGCTTGCTGCTTTTTGTGTCTTGAGCTTATGATTATGGACATGGGATATTTGCTTGGAAGCAGACCATTCCTCAGTTGCCAGGGAGGCCCGTGTTCCGCACAG